TAACGTGGAGCTCGAGGTGGACCTACTTACCCCGAAATCAAATACGTACAAAAATAAGCGTAGTGCGTCGAGTCCTGGCGAAACCAATCCGCAGAAAAAACATAAGAAACCTACAGAAACTGCTGTAGAAGTAGAAAGTGATCGACATTCAACAGAAAAAGAGCCCGAGTGGAAAACTGTAAACAGAAACAGGAAGCCGAACATTAAAAGACCGAAAGTCCGACCAGAAGCTGTTGTTATAAAACCTCGAGACGGCCACAGCTATGCTGATGTTTTAAGACGACTACGGGAAAAGGTGAACCCCGAAAACACAGACGTTGCAGTTCAATCAGTGCGGAAGACAAAAACAGGTTCCCTACTCCTTATAATGGGAAAAGGAGGAAATAAAGAGGAATTTCGTGAGACTATCAAAGGATCACTAAAGGAGGAAGCCATAGTGAACAGCGTGAAGACTAAGGCAACTATCGAAATTCAAGATCTCGACGTCCTCACAACTGAAGACGAGGTAATTGATTCCATAATAAAAACTGTTAATGCAGCGAAAGAAGAAGTAAACATTCGACTAACGGCAGCCAACATAAGAGAGCAGAAGCGGGCTTTCGTGTCTTTACCCGCAGCAGATGCAAACAAACTCCTGGAGAAGCGTAGGATATTAGTAGGATGGACATACTGCAAGATAAAATACAAGGTAGAAGTGAAGCGATGCTACAGGTGTTTCGAATCAGGACACATGCAGTGGGAATGCAAGGGACCAGACCGCAAAGGTATGGGAATTTGTATAAAATGTGGTCAAAAAGGACATAAATTGAAAGAGTGTGTGAACACAGCGAATTGCTGCATCTGCTCGCAGTATAACAAGAACCAAGCGAGTCATATGCCCGGGAGTTATAGCTGCAATCCAAACCAGTACAGAACACAATGAGATTCCTCCAGGCCAATATGCATCGCGGAAAAGTTGCGCATTCGCTACTGGGCCAAATAGTATACGAAGAGGGGGCTGATATTGTCATAATCAGCGAACAATACAAAAGCATTGAAACAGGAAAATGGGTCGAAGATGAATCAAAAACGGCATCAATATGGCTCCCGAGCAGTAAACAAGCCATTGACCAGAGCGGATACGGAAATGGGTTTTCATGGATAGTACTTGATAATCTTACTATCGTCAGCTGCTATCTTACCCCTAGTGATCATATAGATTCTTTTCAACAAAAATTAGACGATATTGAAGACTTCACAAGGCATAGAGATGGAGACATCATAATCGCAGGGGACTTTAACTCCCGGGCGGTGGAATGGGGGATGCCAACAACAGATCCTAGAGGAAAGCGGATTATAGATATGATTGCTAGACTAGGTATAGCGCCTGCTAATATTGGAAGTACTGCCACGTTTAGACGGCCCGGTTGTGCTGGTACCATCCCAGATGTGACTTTTGTCTCAGAGGGGCTACTCAACAAAATAGAAAATTGGAGAGTCATGGAAACGTACACTGGCAGCGATCATCAGTATATCTCATTCAGCCTGCAAGCAAATGAGATAATAAACAGTTGTAGCGTTACAACCCGCAAATGGAACGTCAATAAACTTAATAAAGACAAATTGATTGCGGAAATAGATAGACTTGCCGCGGAAGACCAATCCGAAAAAGATGCAATCCACACCGTCAATCGCGTAATGGATATAATACTAAAGAGTTGTGAGAAGGCCATGCCAAAATTAATAACCCAAGGAACGCGAAAAAAGGTGTACTGGTGGAACACCACAATCGGCGAATTCCGACGAAAATGTTTAAAGACAAGGAGAAAATACACGCGAGCGAGACGAAGAGGGGAGGCGCAAATGGAGCATGCTGCATATAAAGATGCAAAAAAACAGCTGCAGACGGCCATCTTCAGAAGCAAGAAAAACAAATGGGAAGAATTAAGGGCAGACATTAACCAGAACCCATGGGGACTTGGCTACAAGATCGTGATGCAAAAATTAGGATCGAAAAATACTGCAGATCTAATGGACGACGATGTTATGGACAATATTGTCTGCACTCTATTCCCAAAACATAGCATCATAGCAGATGCAACTGAACATGGGTCTCCCGCAGACATACCATTGTTTACAATAAGCGAGCTTCAAACAGCAGCAGGCAGTCTCAAAATAAACAAAGCCCCTGGCCCCGATGGTATACCAAGTGAAATTATAAAAGAAATATCAAAAAGTCGCCCTGATATGCTGCTCAAGATGTATAACAAATGTCTGAAAAAGGGTATTTTTCCAGAACCATGGAAAATACAGAAACTAGTCCTACTAAGCAAAGGAAAAGGAGACCGCACAGAACCATCAGCATACAGACCACTTTGTATGCTGGACACAGCTGGAAAGTTACTGGAAAGGTTAATTAAGCCAAGACTAAATGAATCCATAAATGCAGCAGGTGGTCTGTCCAGCAGGCAACACGGTTTTCGCCCGGGTAAGTCAACAATAGGAGCCCTCAGAGATGTAATACACACTGCAGAAAGTACACAAACTGGAAATCACTACTCTCGTCCCATCATACTATTGGTAACATTAGATGTGAAAAATGCTTTCAACAGCTTGCGATGGGTAGACGTAATTGAGACTCTAGATAAAATTTTTAAGATACCTGCATACTTACGTAATATAATAAGAGATTATTTAAGAAATAGGATTTTGGTGTATGACACCAAACACGGGAAAAAAGCCATGCAAGTAACGTCAGGGGCCGCTCAAGGCTCTATATTAGGACCGGACCTTTGGAACGCCACGTATGACGAAATCCTTAAAATTGAAATGCCACATGACACTTATCTCGTGGGCTACGCTGATGATATAGCCGCAGTAATAAAAGCTAAGAGTACAGAGGAAGCACAAAGACGATTATATCAAACAATGATACGTACGAAAAATTGGCTAGAGAAACACGGTCTTCAACTAGCACTTCAAAAAACTGAAGTCCTACTCATTAGCAGACGACATATCCCTACTGAAGTGGAGTTGCGCATAGGAGATTTGGTTATTCCGACAAGGCCGTCCGTAAAATATCTAGGAATGAGACTGGACTCCAAGCTGACCTATTTGAAGCAGATAGAGTACGCAACAACTAAAGCTGCCAAAATAACAACTCAATTGAGCAGACTAATGGCCAATGTTGGTGGACCTCTAGCAAGTAGGAGGAAAATTATTATGGAGGCAAGTAATAGTATACTGCTGTATGGTTCAGAAATTTGGGCCCCAGTATTAAAAATTAAAGCAAGAGCGAGTAAATTACTTTCTGTTCAAAGAACAGCAGCGTTACGGGTAACCTCGGCCTATCGCACTGTATCTGCTGATGCCGTGCTAGTTATTGCTGGAATGATTCCTATTGACTTACAGGCAATAGAGCGGTATAACATATGTCAAGCCAGGGTTCGAAATGAACAACAAGCAGAACACGCCCGCCAAGAAACATTAGAAAAATGGCAAGCAAGATGGCAAAACGGAACTCTTGGTAAATGTACACGGAAACTAATCCCAGACGTACAAGACTGGTACAACAGAAAACACGGAGAGGTAAACTACTACATAACTCAGATGCTATCAGGTCATGGGTACTTTCGGAAGTACTTGTACAAAATGGGCAAATGCAGCTCTCCATTCTGTATATATGAGGAAGAGCAAGTGACTGACGACGTGGAACACACCTTTTTCCAGTGTAACCGCTGGTCGGAATTTCGTAACCGCCTTGAATCGGAGATAGGCCAGGTTTCAATGACAAACATAGCAAGAAAAATACTGCAATCCGAAAGAGCTTGGGATGCGACAGCAAAGTTCGTGGAATGCCTTCTCCGTAAGAAGAAGGCAGACCTAGATTCTTCCCTCTAAAAAATAAAATTGATAACAAGCGGCGCCTGGACGCAGGTTCAAAATAGATACATTGGTCACACACCACAATGGGGGTCCACCTTGAAGTAATGCGAAAGTAGTTCCGAGGTGGGGCATAACCTCCGGGGTGAAAGGAGGTGGGTTTTTAGCCGGTATAGACCCGAGCCCGGCATACGACGAATGTGACGACATCGTCAGATGCGTAAAGCATTTTCCCATCCCTACCCGCAAAAAAAAAAAAAAAAAAAAAAAAAAATTATTATTATTATTATTATTATTATTATTATTATTATTATTATTATTATTATTATTATTATTATTATTATTATTATTATTATTATTATTATTATTATTATTATTATTATTATTATTATTATTATATTATTATTATTATTATTATTATTATTATTATTATTATTATTATTATTATTATTATTATTATTATTATTATTATTATTATTATTATTATTATTATTATTATTATTATTATTATTATTATTATATTATTATTATTATTATTATTATTATTATTATTATTATTATTATTATATTATTATTATTATTATTATTATTATATTATTATTATTATTATTATTATTATTATTATTATTATTATTATTATTATTATTATTATTATTATTATTATTATTATTATTATTATTATTATCCTAGTGCTTAAAGCTCAAAGCTACTAGGTGGGTCAGTAGGTGGCGGATAACTGAACGGCCTCCAGATATGTAGGTTAGCTGCGAATAAAATAAGCAGTCCCAGACCATAGAGCGGTGAAAGCCGAGGATATGTTACAAAAAGACATCAACGTCCGACAAAGCTTCTCACGACATGGCGAACGGAAGCCGCCATTCATTAAGCATCCACCCTCAGGGGGTGCTCTACTGATAGAGCAAAAGGAGAGTGATGCCTAGGCGGACCCCCCAATCAAAAACAAAAAATCCCCTCGATGACGACATGGCTTTCATAACGGTAAACGGCATGGATACATTACGAATAGATCGCCACGGGCTGGCAGTTGCGACAATCTGTTACTTCAGTAAGTGGGAGTGATATCCCACCGAAATAGCTTTCAGGACAATGTCGCTGCTGTCCTCCGTCCCATCAAAACCCTGGCAAGGACTCAGGGAACGCTTCTTACTTCGTCGTCATTGATTTGACCTTGCAGGTTCAGTTGATATGACTATCCTGATTAATGTCCGACCCGGCTCTGAACACAAGTACTCATAAGGTCTTGTGTCAACCCTCGCGAGGACCTCACTGCCTGCAAAGGTACCCTCGGGGTCACTTAAAGGACAACTGCAATACGAGGAAGGATAACGGCTCTGAGTTGGGACCCATAAGAAACGATGACAACAATTGAAACCCCCAAAAACACTGCAGAAGGAGAACCCGCCTTTAAGATGAGTTAAAGAACAAAGAGGACACCGGTGAACTCGCCAGCAGTAGCTGTAGAAATTGCGCAAATTGATAACGCAACACCAAAGATTAATACAGGAGCACCCCTCGCAGAGAGGACTCATTCCTCGCCTAAACAGGAGTTTATACTCCAGATGAGAAAATCCGAGGAAGAAGCACTTTCGAAATGTAACAATGTGTTACGTAAGATGAGAGAGGCCATCAACAAACAGCGCAACATCAGTAAAGACGTTCAAAACGGAGTGACCGAATTGGAGGAACTATTAGATGTTATAGCGGACTACAGACGAAATTGGAAGTCGGCTGAAAAGGAAAGAGGAGCAAGTAAACTCCGTAACGTGGAGCTCGAGGTGGACCTACTTACCCCGAAATCAAATACGTACAAAAATAAGCGTAGTGCGTCGAGTCCTGGCGAAACCAATCCGCAGAAAAAACATAAGAAACCTACAGAAACTGCTGTAGAAGTAGAAAGTGATCGACATTCAACAGAAAAAGAGCCCGAGTGGAAAACTGTAAACAGAAACAGGAAGCCGAACATTAAAAGACCGAAAGTCCGACCAGAAGCTGTTGTTATAAAACCTCGAGACGGCCACAGCTATGCTGATGTTTTAAGACGACTACGGGAAAAGGTGAACCCCGAAAACACAGACGTTGCAGTTCAATCAGTGCGGAAGACAAAAACAGGTTCCCTACTCCTTATAATGGGAAAAGGAGGAAATAAAGAGGAATTTCGTGAGACTATCAAAGGATCACTAAAGGAGGAAGCCATAGTGAACAGCGTGAAGACTAAGGCAACTATCGAAATTCAAGATCTCGACGTCCTCACAACTGAAGACGAGGTAATTGATTCCATAATAAAAACTGTTAATGCAGCGAAAGAAGAAGTAAACATTCGACTAACGGCAGCCAACATAAGAGAGCAGAAGCGGGCTTTCGTGTCTTTACCCGCAGCAGATGCAAACAAACTCCTGGAGAAGCGTAGGATATTAGTAGGATGGACATACTGCAAGATAAAATACAAGGTAGAAGTGAAGCGATGCTACAGGTGTTTCGAATCAGGACACATGCAGTGGGAATGCAAGGGACCAGACCGCAAAGGTATGGGAATTTGTATAAAATGTGGTCAAAAAGGACATAAATTGAAAGAGTGTGTGAACACAGCGAATTGCTGCATCTGCTCGCAGTATAACAAGAACCAAGCGAGTCATATGCCCGGGAGTTATAGCTGCAATCCAAACCAGTACAGAACACAATGAGATTCCTCCAGGCCAATATGCATCGCGGAAAAGTTGCGCATTCGCTACTGGGCCAAATAGTATACGAAGAGGGGGCTGATATTGTCATAATCAGCGAACAATACAAAAGCATTGAAACAGGAAAATGGGTCGAAGATGAATCAAAAACGGCATCAATATGGCTCCCGAGCAGTAAACAAGCCATTGACCAGAGCGGATACGGAAATGGGTTTTCATGGATAGTACTTGATAATCTTACTATCGTCAGCTGCTATCTTACCCCTAGTGATCATATAGATTCTTTTCAACAAAAATTAGACGATATTGAAGACTTCACAAGGCATAGAGATGGAGACATCATAATCGCAGGGGACTTTAACTCCCGGGCGGTGGAATGGGGGATGCCAACAACAGATCCTAGAGGAAAGCGGATTATAGATATGATTGCTAGACTAGGTATAGCGCCTGCTAATATTGGAAGTACTGCCACGTTTAGACGGCCCGGTTGTGCTGGTACCATCCCAGATGTGACTTTTGTCTCAGAGGGGCTACTCAACAAAATAGAAAATTGGAGAGTCATGGAAACGTACACTGGCAGCGATCATCAGTATATCTCATTCAGCCTGCAAGCAAATGAGATAATAAACAGTTGTAGCGTTACAACCCGCAAATGGAACGTCAATAAACTTAATAAAGACAAATTGATTGCGGAAATAGATAGACTTGCCGCGGAAGACCAATCCGAAAAAGATGCAATCCACACCGTCAATCGCGTAATGGATATAATACTAAAGAGTTGTGAGAAGGCCATGCCAAAATTAATAACCCAAGGAACGCGAAAAAAGGTGTACTGGTGGAACACCACAATCGGCGAATTCCGACGAAAATGTTTAAAGACAAGGAGAAAATACACGCGAGCGAGACGAAGAGGGGAGGCGCAAATGGAGCATGCTGCATATAAAGATGCAAAAAAACAGCTGCAGACGGCCATCTTCAGAAGCAAGAAAAACAAATGGGAAGAATTAAGGGCAGACATTAACCAGAACCCATGGGGACTTGGCTACAAGATCGTGATGCAAAAATTAGGATCGAAAAATACTGCAGATCTAATGGACGACGATGTTATGGACAATATTGTCTGCACTCTATTCCCAAAACATAGCATCATAGCAGATGCAACTGAACATGGGTCTCCCGCAGACATACCATTGTTTACAATAAGCGAGCTTCAAACAGCAGCAGGCAGTCTCAAAATAAACAAAGCCCCTGGCCCCGATGGTATACCAAGTGAAATTATAAAAGAAATATCAAAAAGTCGCCCTGATATGCTGCTCAAGATGTATAACAAATGTCTGAAAAAGGGTATTTTTCCAGAACCATGGAAAATACAGAAACTAGTCCTACTAAGCAAAGGAAAAGGAGACCGCACAGAACCATCAGCATACAGACCACTTTGTATGCTGGACACAGCTGGAAAGTTACTGGAAAGGTTAATTAAGCCAAGACTAAATGAATCCATAAATGCAGCAGGTGGTCTGTCCAGCAGGCAACACGGTTTTCGCCCGGGTAAGTCAACAATAGGAGCCCTCAGAGATGTAATACACACTGCAGAAAGTACACAAACTGGAAATCACTACTCTCGTCCCATCATACTATTGGTAACATTAGATGTGAAAAATGCTTTCAACAGCTTGCGATGGGTAGACGTAATTGAGACTCTAGATAAAATTTTTAAGATACCTGCATACTTACGTAATATAATAAGAGATTATTTAAGAAATAGGATTTTGGTGTATGACACCAAACACGGGAAAAAAGCCATGCAAGTAACGTCAGGGGCCGCTCAAGGCTCTATATTAGGACCGGACCTTTGGAACGCCACGTATGACGAAATCCTTAAAATTGAAATGCCACATGACACTTATCTCGTGGGCTACGCTGATGATATAGCCGCAGTAATAAAAGCTAAGAGTACAGAGGAAGCACAAAGACGATTATATCAAACAATGATACGTACGAAAAATTGGCTAGAGAAACACGGTCTTCAACTAGCACTTCAAAAAACTGAAGTCCTACTCATTAGCAGACGACATATCCCTACTGAAGTGGAGTTGCGCATAGGAGATTTGGTTATTCCGACAAGGCCGTCCGTAAAATATCTAGGAATGAGACTGGACTCCAAGCTGACCTATTTGAAGCAGATAGAGTACGCAACAACTAAAGCTGCCAAAATAACAACTCAATTGAGCAGACTAATGGCCAATGTTGGTGGACCTCTAGCAAGTAGGAGGAAAATTATTATGGAGGCAAGTAATAGTATACTGCTGTATGGTTCAGAAATTTGGGCCCCAGTATTAAAAATTAAAGCAAGAGCGAGTAAATTACTTTCTGTTCAAAGAACAGCAGCGTTACGGGTAACCTCGGCCTATCGCACTGTATCTGCTGATGCCGTGCTAGTTATTGCTGGAATGATTCCTATTGACTTACAGGCAATAGAGCGGTATAACATATGTCAAGCCAGGGTTCGAAATGAACAACAAGCAGAACACGCCCGCCAAGAAACATTAGAAAAATGGCAAGCAAGATGGCAAAACGGAACTCTTGGTAAATGTACACGGAAACTAATCCCAGACGTACAAGACTGGTACAACAGAAAACACGGAGAGGTAAACTACTACATAACTCAGATGCTATCAGGTCATGGGTACTTTCGGAAGTACTTGTACAAAATGGGCAAATGCAGCTCTCCATTCTGTATATATGAGGAAGAGCAAGTGACTGACGACGTGGAACACACCTTTTTCCAGTGTAACCGCTGGTCGGAATTTCGTAACCGCCTTGAATCGGAGATAGGCCAGGTTTCAATGACAAACATAGCAAGAAAAATACTGCAATCCGAAAGAGCTTGGGATGCGACAGCAAAGTTCGTGGAATGCCTTCTCCGTAAGAAGAAGGCAGACCTAGATTCTTCCCTCTAAAAAATAAAATTGATAACAAGCGGCGCCTGGACGCAGGTTCAAAATAGATACATTGGTCACACACCACAATGGGGGTCCACCTTGAAGTAATGCGAAAGTAGTTCCGAGGTGGGGCATAACCTCCGGGGTGAAAGGAGGTGGGTTTTTAGCCGGTATAGACCCGAGCCCGGCATACGACGAATGTGACGACATCGTCAGATGCGTAAAGCATTTTCCCATCCCTACCCGAAAAAAAAAAAAAAAAAAAAAAAAAAAATATTATTATTATTATTATTATTATTATTATTATTATTATTATTATTATTATTATTATTATTATTTTTATTATTATTATTATTATTATTATTATTATTATTATTATTATTATTATTATTATTATTATTATTATTATTATTATTATTATTGTTATTATTATTATTATTATTATTATTATTATTATTATTATTATTATTATTATTATTATTATTATTATTATTATTATTATTATTATTATTATTATTATTATTATCATTATCATTATTATTATTATTATTATTATCATTATTATTATTATTATTATTATTATTATTATTATTATTATTATTATTATTATTATTATTATTATTATTATTATTATTATTATTATTATTATTATTATTATTATTATTATTATTATTATTATTATTATTATTATTATTATTATTATTATTATTATTATTATTATTATTATTATATTAAGAAATAATGCTGTTTTTATACCCTACAACACCTATAAGTTTGATTGGGACAAAAATTATGTAATACGAAATATTGATTTCCCACATAGGAAAGTATATATGGATCTTCCTATCTCGCCGAGCTGAGTTGATCTAGCTATGTATGTCCGTCCGTCCGTCTGTCCGTCTGTCCATGTTAATTTGTAATCACTCTACAGGTCGCAATTATGGCCCGATCATCACAAAATTTAGAATGGAGATGGGGCTAGGTTCAGAATAGAACCCTATTTCATTTGGAGATGACCGCATAATATTTAAGGGTTGAAATGGACCAAAAACTGAAAAAATCCTGATTTTGCTGTTGCTCTACAGGTCCCAATTATAGACCAATCGACGCGGAAATTAGAATGGGGCTAGACTTTGGGCTGGGCAGAAGCCTGCCAATTTTGATGATCATCTGCTAATATTAAGTGGGTAAAATGCACCATGACATTTGTGTTAAATAAAAGTCAAATTTTCCATTAAACCGCGAATATTTTTAATCGCTGCGAAATCACAAATAGACGAACAGGTCAATTCTGACCGTAACGTAGATGCCGATAGTAAATATATCGGATATATATAGGAAAATATATGCAATGTATATATACAAAGGAAGGGGATATTAGCCAGAAGGCTTATATATCAAAAATAGCTGGACCGATTTTGACAAATTTTGTCAATTCAGAATGCCCTCCTGGCATAAAAGTATAACATCTAAAAAAAATCGCATAAAAATATGCAAATAATGATGTTAATATTATTTTTTCATATTTATTATCGCTTGTAATTTTTTAAATTTGACTTATAAAATTGAAGTGGATATTTTGTAATATTTTTCACCTTACAACACAGGTTGGGGTTATTATACAAGTATTGCAAATATCGTCCGATCCTCACGAAAAATTTCACAAGGGTAGGGTTGGGCTCAGAAAAGCTATGCCTATTGTTTTCAAAGATTTCCGCAATATATTAGGGGTTGAAATGGACCAACAACTAAAAATTTTCCTGATTTTGCAGCCGTTATAAAGATCACAAATGGAACCTGTGGTTTACACGAAATTAGAGTTAGAAAAGTTAGAGTTTAGGACAACGGGTACAATGGACCGATATCCAAAATACACATAAGACGAATTTCTGGCTTTTTGTGCTGATTTCGTTGACGAATATTGCCAAATATCGTAGACAAGCAAATCATATAGAAGAGTCTAAATTTGATGATACAGATGGGCTTCTTGCTTTTGGAGATGATCGCAAAATATTTGCGAAATGTTTTTCCGATCACACAATTGAAGCCAATCGACACGCCTGTGA